TGTCTTATACACATCTAGATGTGTATAAGATACAGGTACTGTGGAACGAGCCATACATGATGTTTTTGATGATAATAGTGTGGATAGAGACCAGGAACATTTTTGTGTAATTATAATTGTGTTTCTGTAGGCTAGTGAGAGTGATGAGAGTGATGGTTATGATAGGGAAGAAGCTAATATCGCCGGTGGTGCAGCGGGGACGAGGTAGGTCTAGGGCCTAGCCTAGGCCTAGATGAAGTTAGGCCTAGCCTAGCCTATACAAAGAACTAGGCCAAATTGGATGGCGGAAACGGAACATTTCCCTGATTGTAAAACAATTTTTCTTTTACAAACTAGTATCACATATAGAATATATGTGCTATGAGAATTATTTTTTTTATAATAGTTTTTTGTTTAGAGTTACTAAGAGAGATACTAATTTCTGCTGTGTAATTATGTAGTTTTGTAAAAGTAATTTGGCATGCTGGAATGTCATGCACCAGCGATTTTCAGCATAAGGTTTAAAAATTACTGACAGTCTGTGTACAGAACAGATAAAAATTACCGCATCCATAGTAATCACAGATTATATATATCAGTACAGTAGAACACCTCAATTATGTACGACACGGGCCCAGAGCCCTTCGTAATTCTGGGTATTCGTAAAATTGGGGTTGACCCAAGTTCCTATATATTTGCACTGGTACAGTACTACTTACACTGGCAAAGACTAGGCCAAAGCATGGGCCAGCATTGATGTCAACATACCGACTTGTATACGAGAATAATTCAAGTACAATCGTAATAAAGTTTGTCGGTTTAGTACAGTACTGTACTGTAGGCACCGATACGGTTTTATTTTCATAGCGAACAACATACGTTTAGCTAGACCCCACTCTCGCTACTCGATCTATGGACACGTTTTGTTTCGTTGTTGTTATACCATTATGGGAAATCAACGAAAAGATTATCACTGATTGGCTGAGATGCGGTTGGACCAAGTTGGACTATTCTATTTTTAGCATAGCAAAAGTAAGAATCAGAAATACTGTTTTGCCGTTTATAACATTGTTTTACTCGTAATTATTACTGCAACAGTGGGAAAAGAATTATAACCTTGGGGAAAAAGTTACTTAAAATTTCTGATTTTATTTTTCTTAATGGATTCATATTTTTGTTACGCGAGGCTTTTGTGTGGGATTATGCATGTTTTGGTGGCAGGGTTCGGAGTTAAATTAATGCAGACGAAATGCACTTGCAATAAAATTTCTTTTGTAAATTTGGTGGCCCTGAAGAGAGACGTTTGGTCTGATGTTCTCATCAATGATCTTTGATCTCTCCATCGTCTAATCTGGAGAAGATGCAGTGGGTCGATGTTGCCCTGTTGCTTGAGACGCAGAAAAATTACGTTGTGGGCGGGGTTATCCCACGTTCGCAGACAGCATGTAGAGTCAACTGCTTTACTTACTACTAATCAATGTCGGTACAGAACAGTAGTCAAAGGATAAACTATTACAGTACAGTATCAATTATCAGAGTAGTTGGTACGTTATTCAATCTTGAATCTCTATGAAACTTGAAATGTTACACAGGTTTTATCAATTGAAATTACATGGGTATTTTCCGGTTTATGTAAATAACACTTTTTATTGTATTGTTGTATTATTAGTAGTCTAGCTGAAAACGTCATTGCATGCTTCGCAATTTGTTATTTGTTATTTTAACGCAGTTGATGTAGGGCCAGTGGCTGTATGACAACGACTACATTAATGCGAATGTAGTACTGTAACCACATGTACGTACGACGACTACATGAAGGTACTATACTCACGACAGGTGGGTAGCTGGTAGTGTATTTTTTGGGCGGAAACTGTTGACAAAATTAGACCTAAAGGCAGTCGACCATCGGGTACATAACTTCTTCCCAGCTTGTTTTTTTCCAACAAGTGGCTTATCTACATTGCGGTGTAAGTAAGTACTGTAGAGCAGAACGAGGCCTATGCTCGCGATGGTGGTAGAAATATTATTAATAATAATTTAATCAATGATTCTGTGTTCTCGTCTGATATGTAAAATACATTCAATTAATGTTTGTAATATTTTAAGAATGCACGGCGTCTGTTGCTTTGTTACACGGTTTATACTGTAGAGCAGAATGACTACAGTAGAGTAGGCCTAGGCCTAGGCCTAGCGGTTTAATTTCCTAAGGCCAGGCCTAGACCTAGATCATAAGTCCTTCATCATCACAGTGAAAAATTTGGGTGACAGACGAATGGACACTATCTATGCCTGGTTCCACCTTCTTGGCTCGGACTAATGATTTTGGCTAAAAACAGATTCAATTATGAAACCATTGTCATCTTGCCGACTTCATGGGCTGGTATCACTAGGCCTAGGTATATATTTTACAAATTTATCAATTTAGAATACTGTACCACTGGCTCCCAAGGGATACGTACGTCTTAAATGTACTCTTAAATTCTGCAAATAAGGTGCAAAGGGTGTCAAGGATGACGTCCTATAATGAATTAAATGGAAGAAGGCTTTACCTACATAATTTTATTTGGAAACACTTATTTTCAATGCACTGGCAATATCCAGAGGGCGCAGTGACAATAAATTAGCAGTCATGTTTTGACATGGCTTGTAAAGTGGGTAAGTATACTTTTTGATTAAGTTAAATAACCTCATGTGTGCCGTAATTTAATATAGTTATAATGTTTTAAAATTGATACACTTAAACCTCTTAATACACCTAGAGTCATAAATCTTAATTAGAAATTGAGGTCAGTTAACTATTCCTATCCTTATGTGCAAGGACTCATTCATTTAATACGTCTGGGAGCAGTAAAAGAAAAAAAAGTGTCTCAGAAAAAAATCCCCAACCATAAGGATTTGAGCAATATTTACATATACAGTAGGACCTCGATTTTACGTACGGTACGGGACCAGAGGGCGTACGTAAATCGGGGGATTCGTAAAATAGAGGTTGGGTTAAATTTGTGGTAACCTTTGACCTAATACGTACGTAACGCTCAATAAACGTACGTACGAACGAACGAACGATGATACCTAGGCTAGACCTAGCCTCTAGGCCTACGAATAAAACCATGTGTTTAGTGTTTTTATTCATCACTTTACGATGTCATAATAAAGTGTTCAAATAAAACCATGGACAAAGGTATAACTTGGGAATTCCCCTTCATGCCTATTCTAAACAACAGAGATGTGGTGTTGTCTGGGCCTGTTGAGACAAACTAAACCCATATGCGCTGCACTGGGCGAGCCAACCAATTAGCGTTCGTGTACGAGAAACAGCAACCATGTGCTATGCACTGGGTGAGCCAACCAATTAGCGTTCGTGTACAAAACTATGTCTACCCAGCTTCGTATAGAAAATTCGACCAGACGAGTTCTTCCTTGGTTTGCCACACGAAGCTAAGGAGGAAAGCAATAATTTTGAGCACCGTCGGTAATTGTTCATCTCACTCAGTTCACATGGTTTTAGATTATAACAACCCGGTATTAGACTCAATCAACGTTGCTGTTTAATGAAAATACGTTGCATTACGGTTTTTGTTATAGTTTATTGTTATATTCTTTTTACTTATGGTTGCTCTCAAAAGGTCCGTTTGTTTTGAATATTTTCGGGGTTTTTGATGACGTCATCGTCCATACGAGGCGTACGTAAAACAGAGGGTTCGTATAACTGGGGTACGTAAAAACGAGGTTCTACTGTATTTTTTATCAACATTATCATAGCACTTTGAAATTTTAGCCTTAAACTGAAAGGTTTCATGGCTCTACAGAAATCAACAGAATCAGAGAAGCAAAAAGAAAAAAAATTGAGCGTGGCATATTTTTGAGAGCCCATTTTAAAACGACTTTGACTTTCGGTCTAAAATTATTTGCAAAAAGGAACATTTTGGTGAATTAAAAAAAATCTAAGATCTAATCGATTATCATTGCTATAAACTCATTGATACAATAGTAAGCGTTTACATACCTCATGGCTGGCTATGCCTTGTCACACCAAGGTTTACATTGTGTTGTACTAACTGGGACACCGAGAAGTCATCAACGCAGCATTACCCTCCAAAAAATGTAAAAGAATACATTGTGAGGTTGGTGTACAGGAGAGAATCTGTTGAACATTGCAAAAAAAAGGCTTTTAGGTATATGTAATAATTATTACCTTTTCTATGGAACACTAACTAGGTCACTTATAATGTAAAATGCGCTTAGTATCAGTGGCAGCGCCAGCGGGGGACAAGGGGGCTTAAGTCACCCACCGGACAAGAAAATCTCCCCGCCAGACAGAGCTCGTCGGGCAGACCATAAAAAACATAAAGATAGGCCCACACCAAGCCAACACATGTCTGTCACAGTCTGAGAGTGCCACCTCCGGCCATCAAGGATTCGTTGTTTTGATTTTCATCAGCAAGTAATTTGACTTTAAAAACACATACTCTATAAAGCCTATACCCAATATACTATTTATGATTAGGCCTATTGACAAAATATTGATTAGGCCTATTGACAAAATATTCCTATCCTTTATTAACTAAATAAATAAAATGCGTTAATAAAAGCATATATGTACAAAACAACTAATGCTGAGTAATTGTTTTTACATTTGTATTTTCATATCTTAATAGTTTATGAACTATTAAGCAAATAACTATCAAAAATAAGCATTACAGTGACCTTGTTAAAAAAATAGCAAGCTCAGGGGATTAAAGGTCATGTTATCAGCTGGCGCTCTAGTTGAGTGAGCAAAAAAAGATCTGGCAGTGTAAAGATAGACATTTGTATTAGCCAGCTCCTATTTTCTTATCACTTATTTCGATTTGGTCTTTTGTGTATGCAACCATTCATGCATAAATGGAGAAAGCTGATTGGTCAGTTTGTCCTTTGCTTGCTTTTCTAGTGGTTTTTACTGTATTTTTACACTTATACAGTAGTGGTCTCTTACTTCCTGTTTTTGTTGCTAATTACTTGTTAATTAGTGGGATTTGAGCATATTCAAATATATCAACATGTTCCAAATTATTAGTTCTTTGATACCGACTAAAAAACTCGTTTTTTAAAAATTGTCAGTTACTTCTGTAGTGGGGAAGCATAGACATAGAGCACGGGCCCTGAGCCATTCGTAAAATCTGGGTTGACCTAAATTCCTATATATTTGCACTGGTACTACTTACACTGGCATAAACTAGTCCTAGGCTAGGCCCACATGCCTACGTAGCAAATTTGAAGAGGCCCGTTAGAGGGCCTCCTTCACTTGAGAATTGCATAGTACTGTATAGTATGGTATGTTGTGTTGTATGCATGCTAATAACAGTTAAAATTCAAGTAGATTCTTTTTTTTTTATTTTTCACTCGCTTTTCACTTCACTTTTTATGACTTCATCACCTTGATTTTACGTTAGTAAAATCTGGGATTTGTTGAATCGGGGTTCGTAATTTATATACACACACACACAACAAACAAAGTATCTATGGAAGTTGTGTTGAAGTAAAATCCACAAAACATTAAAAACAATTTTGTTTGGAGCCTAGAGTGGGATCGGAATGCTTAGACACTGCCTACCATTAGCCTAGGCCCCCTCATACTTAGCTGCGTAGGCCTGTGGGCCTAGCCTTGGCCTAGTTTATGCCAGTGTAAACAAGTGCAAATATATAGGAATTTGGGTCGACCCCGATTTTACGAATACCCGCAATTACAAACGGTTCTAAGCCCGTGCCGTACGTAATTGAGGGGTCAATTTCAAGCTGATTAGCAATTGTCGTTAATCAAGATTTTGAAACAGAATTATTCCCTGATCACAACCACAAACAAATCCTACCTTCATGACAGATGGTTAGTGGGAGGCACACTTTCGATTCCACAATCCATTTCAACCGTTCCACATTCAGTAAATCACTGTGTCCCATCCATCTCTCTCGCTCAACTCTCAATACATCGGCAATCTTGTTAAAGAGTGAATACTTTCATCATGGAATAGATGGTGCAATTGTAAGAACCTAAATAATGTTTGAAATTCAATGTCACATTATTAAATATGAATATGAATATAAGTTTTCAAAGAAAGAAACAGAAAACACACATTAACTTTTATATGATTTACTTTCCATGGGAAAAAAAAAAATTTTTTTAAGCAAATATTGTCATGAGGTAAACAAGAGACTAGCAATAAATTTACTTGGCATTACTACAGGTCTCCCTACAATTCGGATTTAGGTTTTTATGGTCTATATCAGCCTAGGTCCTTAAATAGAAAAATAATATGAAAATAGAAGGCTTATTGCGGGCTACAGAAATGTGGTCGTAATTGGTGGTGGTCTTTAACACTTTTACTTACAGAAGCGCTCCAATTATCGTAATTAATTAACAATAATTTATAAAAAATCGTATGTGCAGTACTGTGTGCATGTATTTTCACTAAATGTTCAAGAAAATGTCAAAATTGTTATTAAAAAATGTTTCTTATATTGTGATACCCTTATACGGGAAGGCACCCCATCAACACTGATGCATAAAATCATCTAAAAATACACTTTTTTCCAAAAAGTAACTATTCTGACACTTTCCGACAATAAATATCTATTCAATATACATACTGTACAAGTTTTGATTATTATATCCACATATTTCCAGGTAAAATCAATTTTTTTTTGTGGCTGAAAAAACATGGCTTTCAGATTTGCCTGTACCATCGTGGTTCCTAAAAAAAAAAACGAAAACAAACTCGGACATCATTGTTAAACTCCTGAACTTCCTGTTTTCCGGTGACCTACTCAATCCTCACGGTGAGATCGGTGACAGCATAAGGAACTAAATGATGGGTCATAATACTATATTATGGTAATAATTCATATTCTTTCATATTTTTTGACACCAAAACGACCTTGAAAAAGCTCTAGGCGGATATATAAATTTATAGATTTTACGTCGCGAGATAAATTAGGTTTACCACGCTAGGCTCTGTGCGGAGAAGGTGACTGAAGTGGCTTGTAGGCCTAGGGGAATTGGTTAGGACACCCTTGGTGTGAAATTGTATATTATTTTTTTCTTCCGATGTCCTTGATCAATAAATTCAATACTATTTTTTTCAAATTATTAAAAGAAATTAAATTTTTTTTAATTTTTCTTTTAATAATTTCACAATACTTAACAGTAGCGTATTTAGGGAAAAAATGATTGTCTTTCATTCACTATCAAACATTACTTTATTACACTTATATTATATAAAAATAATATTTAATTATATTTCTGTCACTAAATGAAAATTGAAAATTTGTTTATGAAACTTGTAAGAGAATGGGTTAATTTAAGTAGTCTTTTATTTATAGGGAGATCTACATCATTAATAATATACTTACAACCACACACACCATGAATAAATCATACCTTAATGAAGATGAGAGGTTATACAATTGGTTACTGGTCAATTTCAGATGAAACCTATGAAGATAATGCTGAGGATTATGTTGTCACAAGTTCTCAATTTGAGTGGACTTCATCTATGGTAATCTCGTTTTAGAATGAACATTTAGAACTTCCTTGCTTTCAAATGAAATTTAAAATGCTCTGTTCTTGCTTATGCCATCTACTGACTTGTATCTGAAATGTAATTTAATCATTGATATGCAATTTAATAATATTAATATTAAATGAAAACTGCAATATTTAAACTTTTGATTCAGAGCAATTTTCACAAATAAATATATAATTAGTCTGAAGGATAAACTGATCTAGTTATTAAACTAATCATATGTTACTACAGTCCAATTTCATTACTTTTCATAGGTGTTACTAAGTATATTCACCCACTTGCTTTACCCGCCCACACCCCTGTCTCTTTTACACATCTAGATGTGTATAAGCTCCCCCCAATTAATCATATGTTACTACAGTGCAATCATATTAAAATGTAGGCCCATAATCAATGTCACTTTTGTATGTAGTTTATGTAATTGCACATATTATAACATTGACCAAAGATTGCTACACACACATTATGAATTGCTTATTAACTTTCAAATTGATTAGCAATTGTCTTGCTACACACATTATGAAATTGCTAATCAATTTTCAATTGTCGTAATTCAAGATTTTGAAACGAAATTATTCCCTGATCACAGCCACAAACACCATCAATAAATAATACCTTCACAAGAGATGGTTAGTGGGAGGCTGACTTCTGATTCCACCAATTCATTTCAACCGTTCCACTTTCGGTGGTATCACTGTGTCCCATCCATTTGTCTCAGAACACCAACTGCAACAACCTGATTACAATTAAATTTTCTTGGCATTACTTATATAGGTCTCTTCCAATTGGGACTGGAGCTTTTTTATGCTCTTTATCAGCCAAGGTCTTTCAATTAGAAACAAATATTATGAAAATACATTAGTGAATTTAAGTGTTTTGTCTTTGTTAACTGTTTATCTAGACTAACATGGCTATATTTTTGTAATTACAAGAAATAACAGATAGACACTTATTTTGGGCTACAGAATAATGAATTTCAACATAAAGTGGTCTTTAATTGGAGGGGTCTTCTAATTACAATGTAGACCTGTAAACAATATCATCATCACACAACACCATGACTAAATCACCTTCATGAGAGATGATTAGTGGGATACTAATTCCAGGTCTACCAAAGCATTTCAACGGTCCCACTTACGGTGGTATCGCTGTGTGTTTCCATCTGTCTCGACCAACCCTCAATATGGTTGAAGATTGAACACTTCCATCACGAAGTAAAGACGGTGCAGCTGTAATAACCTAGATAATATTTGAAATTTAATGTCACATTTATTCACTACGAATATGAAAATAAGATTTAGTAATAAAAGAAACAGAAAACACACATTAACTTTATGAATTATTTTCCATGGAAAAAGAATTGTTGTTCTTGTTTTTTTAAAGCAAATATTTTCATGAGGTAAACAAGAAACCAGCAATACATTTACTTGGCATTACTACAGGTCTCCCTACAATTAGGACTGGGATTATTATGGCCTATATCAGCCTAGGTCTATAATTATGAAAATATTATGAAACTAGAAGGCTTATTGTGGGCTGCAGAAACATGGTTGTAATTGAAGGTGGTCACTTTCACTTACAGAAGCGCTCCTATTATCGTAATTAATTAACAGCAATTTTTACAAAATCGTATGTGCATTATTGTGTGCATGTATTTTCACTAAATGTTCGAGAAAGTATCAAAAAAATATTAAACAATTTTTCTTATAATATGATACCCTTGAACGGGAAGACGCCCCCTCCCCCCGAACACTGATGCTTAAAATCGTCTAAAAATACACTTAATTTCCAAAAATTAACTATTCTGACACTTTCCGACAATAAATATATATTCAATATACTTGCTGTACCAGTTTTGATTATTACAGTATATCTGGACACATATTTAAAGGTTTAATTTTTTTTTGTGGCTGAAAAAACATGGCTTTCAGATCTGCCTGCACAATCTTGGTTAAAAAAAAAAAATATATGAGAACAAACTCTGACATCAACGTTGAACTCCTGAACTTCCTGTGGGAATTGGCTAGTACCCCCTTGGGATGAAATTGCATATTATTTTTTTCTTCCAAAGTTCTTGATCAACAAATTCATTTAAAAATTATTGTATTTCATTTGCTATCAAACATTATTTTATTACAAGAAAATTGATAATTTGTTTATGAAACTTGTAAGTAAAATGGATAATTGAAGTGGTCTTCTATTCTTAGGGAGACCTATATCATTAATAATATACTACAACC